CTTGCCGCTATCCCGCTAATCATTTATCACAATATTATTATCACTTGGTCGCTACAGTATCTATGGTTCTCGATGCTCTCCGTATTCCTTTCAGAACCGCTACCATGGGAGAACAGAGTTGTGTCTTCCTCGCAGCTTTAATAACTTTGCAATTTATTGTATCCAACAATAGCCTTCATAAAATTTCGAAGTATTCAGAAGGATTTTCCATGATTTTAGGATTAACAGAAGAAGACGCTCTAGTGGATTTTTCACCACTAGGGAATGTTACCTTAACATCTCCAGAGCTATTTTTCCAGTTGGTCATCCCTTATTTTCCAACAGAGTCAACTTTGATGGATGTATCATTTTCTAGCCTCGATATTCTATCCTTAACTGAGTACACGCAACTGACGATAACCTTGCCCGAACGGCATATAGTGCTGGCTTTGGCTACAGCATGGTTAATCGTATTCTTGGGAGTTTGTCGTGGGACCACTTGGATGGCATGGGCGATACGATTCACGGCTACGATACCATATTTAATGGTAAGAATGACTACTATGAATTTTTAGGATAAGCCAATGAGAGAAAAGTTAGATTCCATCCCATTAGCAGCCACTGGTCGAAAAGAAGCTGATATAATGTAGCCAAGTTCATTGTACCATGGGCTTCTAACTAGAAGTTATGAGTGCGTTGGAAAAAGATCCCACCTCTTCTATTATTTCAAACTGACTGTCCGTGGCGGAACGGAGAAGTCCCGCCTCTTTCTGCCTGCGTTTAGTCTATTAAAATAAAATCATTTCTCTGGACCAATATGACTTAGAATGGATGCCTCGAATACGTGGATAATAGGCAACTATTAGCCTCATCAAAGTATAGAAGTTGATCAACCAAGTCAATCAATAATTTTTAGCTTTTCATTCTTCTTATACGAGGCCTCTCACTTCCTGGAGCTAGCCTAGGATTGACCTTTCTCTTCTCCTCAGCTTCCGCCAGCATTTCATCCTTGAAGGTAACAAAAGTTATTGATGGGTACGGTTGAGGCACTTCAATTTACATTTTGCAGATGTGGTCAGCTGCTGCTGAGCAAGTGCTTTTTGAAATTGGTGTTGGCGTTGGAGCAGTGTTCTC